TGGGGCGAACATCGTCAGTGGCATGTGGATTTTCAGGGTGAAGCGGCCGCCGGGTTCTCCGCCTGTCTTCAAGGCGCGCTACGTGGCTCGTGGCTTTAGTCAGCGGCAGGGAGTTGACTACTTTTAGACCTTCTCTCCCACCCCGAAGATGACCACTCTTCGGGTACTGCTGCACATAGCCGCTCACCGTGACTACGAGCTTCACTCTCTTGACTTCAGCACTGCTTTCTTCCAGGGCAGCCTGCACGAGGAGATCTGGCTGCACCGCCCACCTGGCTTCACTGGGTCTTTTCCTCCTGGTACCCAGTGGAGCCTCCGGCGGGCAGTCTACGGTCTCTGCCAGGCACCTTGTGAGTGGCACGACACACTGAGGACTACACTTGCGGCTCTTGGGTTTGCTCCTTCTACTGCCGACCCGTCGCTGTTTCTGCGCACCGACACTTCTTTGTCGCCGTTCTACATCCTCGTGTACGTCAACTACTTGGTCTTTGCCACAGCTGACACTGCTGGACTCGCCCACGTGAAGTCCGAGCTGCAGAAGAGACACACGCGCACAGACCTGGGTGAACTGCGCAGCTATCTTGGCTTGCAGATCACCCGGGACAGAGCACAGCGCACCATTACCCTGACTCAGTCACACATGGTGCAGCAGGTCCTTCAGCGCTTCGGCTTCACGTACTCCTCGCCTCAGGCCACTCCTCTGCCTACTCGCCACTCGCTCTCAGCTCTGCCTTCGGATGAGTCCGTAGAGTCGAGTGGCCCGTACCCAGAGCTTGTTGGGTGCCTCATGTACCTGATGACTTGCACTCGACCTGACCTTGCATACCCTCTTAGCATTCTCGCACGCTATGTTGCTCCTTGGAGACACAGACCAGAGCACATGGCTGCAGCGAAGAGGGTGTTGCGCTACTTGTGCAGTACGTCGGGCATGGGGCTTGTGCTTGGAGGGCGGAGTCCAGTGGTCCTCACAGGTCACGCAGACGCTTCTTGGGCTGACGACCAGGCTACGCAGCGGTCGTCACAGGGTTACACCTTCAGCCTTGGTTTCGGCTCTGTTTCGTGGCGGTCTACCCGCTCGTCTTCTGTTCTCGGCTCCAGTTGTGAGGCTGAGATCTACGCAGGGGCCATGGCTGCACACGAACTACGCTGGCTCACCTACCTGCTGACTGACCTAGGAGAGGCGCCTCGTTCTCCTCCAGTTCTGTACGTAGACTGGAGCACAGAACGAAGCACATCGCTCTTCGCTACTTCCTTGCTCGTGAGCTGCAGCAGCGAGGTCAGCACTGCTGATATCTTCACCAAGGCACTTGCGCCTTGTGACCATCAGCGCTTCTGTACTCTGTTAGGTCTTGTACCTACCTTGCCTCACTTGCTCACTTCTTGACCTTGCTTGTACTGTTACATATATATATACCTGCTCTTGCTTGTTTAGCATTATATATGTGTGTGTACTCATGCATGTGAACTGGCCTTGTGGCCTTGAACTTGTGCTCAGAATGTGTGGTGACGTTGTGATCCACCCTGAGCTTGCTTTGCCTTGCTTTGCTTGACTGGTCTTGTGACCCCTTGTTCTCCCCCACTTTTCCTATGGGGGCGTGTCAAACTTATATGATCTAGCCTGTGTAGGCTGTAGCGGGTTAGATACTAAGGGGTACACAATTCTAGGGTTTCATATTTGTATCACTTTCATTCCTTAGTCGATTGATTCTCGTTCTAAGTTTCTCAAATAGATCAAACTAGCCATGTACTCTGAGGGGTACATTCTCTTATTCTACTGCTTTAGAGACAATTCTATATTGACTCTGATTATTGCATTTCTTCTTGTTACCGAGTCGCTGCATATAACTGTACACACGGTTACGCCTGTTCTCATTCCTCGATGGTAAGTCAATCTTCGGTCCAGATGGTCAACAGTCGCGACAGTTGACGCTTGCGACTGTTGACCTTCTTGCCCTTGATACGGGCTGATCCGATACTGCTGCTAGTGCTGCTTCGATAATGGCGGGTGCGGTACTGCTGCCCTTACAAGAATGCTAAGTATAAGGGCATCGACGGTTTTGCGTAAAATTGCATAGGGTTACCATATTTATTTGCATGCTTATGATTTTGGGCAGTATACTTTTCTCCTTAGATTAAATAAAGTAAGCTGGTGATAACTTACTCGCTAGCGAACTGAATCTGACTGACTTTACATCCCCCCTAAGGGCGACGTCAGATTGTACATCTTCTTGTACGCCCACTGCGGTTAACTTCGTTTCAACATGGTGAAGAGCGGTAAACGCCGAGAACCGCTTTTCACCGTGTCTGACCGTCCTGAACCACGTTACAAGAAATGCATAACCCGACCAGGCCTCAGGATATCAAGGCGTTTTACCCTGTTTGCCCTGCATTTCACGGTGAAATTTTGTACCCACACTGCTAGAATTGGGTTTGGCTGGGCGTCCACCCTGTCATCGTCAAACAGGGCCAAAAACAAACCCTGCAAATGTTGTTTAACGCTTATGTTCAACACTGTTGTTTTACGCTTATGTTCAAACCCTGCCCACTCTTTCTCTTTTGCACAACTTCACTAACGGTGCGGCTTTTCCTCTAAGCCGAAATGTGTCCAGAAGCGTTTGTGAGTAACCTTTCCAGAATCGGCGAAGTACTTGAAAGACCTGAGATTCGGCTATAGCACAAGGAGTGGCGGTTACGACCGATATTGTCTGTATGCATTAACTTCATCGTGTATACTTTCAATTCAAAAAAAAAAAAGGGAGTGGCGTTGTGACCGAAATGTCAGCAGTAGGTTTTGTGACTGAAACCTCCAGAATCGGCTAAGTACTTTTTACCACTAAAGATTCAGCTCCTAACACAAAGACTGGCTCGTTTTCGCTAGTGATCGCACATGAAAGACCCACTGACAGGCCTCTCATCTCCCCAGTGAACCTTAACCACCACACACTTACCCATAGAGACGACCACCTCCTCTGTCGGTTGAGGTCTGGACTTCGAATAGAGCCAGGACGACCCAGTTCGACCAGATTTTCCGGCTCTTGGGAATGATCGATTATGGCAGGATCCACAGCGGGACCCAATTTTTTAGCTAGGCTGTGTTTCCTGATTTTCCACCCTGCTAGATTCGACCTCGGAAAAAAAATACAGTGCCATTTCATGGGTACGACTGCCAAGGCACACTGCAGAGGGGGTTTTTATACGGGCCGTCACAAAACATTGTCGAAAGGTAAGCAGAAAGTTTAGAAGCAGAAAGAGGGGTTGCACTAGCAAGCAGTTGAGTACATATGGGAAACCCTAAATTGGGTTGTACTCGCTATTGAGTACCCCACTGCAGGCTAGACAAATACAGCATTCTGACACACCCCCATAGCCAAAGTGGGGTGTAATCGGCACAACAAGCATGCAGAGCAGTAGTTCACAATAACAAGCAAAGCTAGAGGCTATCACAGAGGGCAAGTGAGGAGGAGGAGAGACTGTGGGGGCGAGAAGATGGGAGGCGACTGCTGAAGCTGCAGACACACAGGAGCTGCTGGCTCAGTGGCTACCGAAGCAAAGGCTCGGACTACAGGATTAACTGGCTCCGCGGAGATTGTAGCCTCCTGACTGGAGCAACTGACCCACAGGCGACTGGCGACTATCGGAGATTGTATCCTCCGGACTACTGGCGCTGCTGACGACACGACGGCTGCCTCCACTCAGCCTTCCCCAGCTGTCCCACACCCCTTTCACGCACCCCTTGTTGAACCTCTAGCACCGCTCACACGCCACCCCCCTCGTACCACTCCGACAGCTCCAACACATCCACCCCCCTCAGCGGCAGCTGCAGCAGTGGGAGACGGAGGAGGAGGAGGAGCAGGGGACAGCTCACACTCCCGGCACCCCCATACTCTCCACCCCCAAACCCTAACATAGGAGCGCGGGCAGCAGCGGGGGCGGGGCGCGGTCAGAAGCTCGGGACGAACCGCACGCGGGCTGCCCGGGCCGCGCGCGGGACTGGCGCAGCCCGTACGGGCCGTGCGCGGGCAGTACGGGCCGCGCGCAGGCCTGGCGCAGCCCGTATGGGTCGCGCGCGGGCCTGGCGCCGCCCGTACGGGCCGCGCGCGGGCCTAGCGCAGGTCGCGCGGGCCGCGACGGGCGACGGGGGGCGACGCGACGGTCGGCAGGGGGCGACGCGCGGTTCGACGGTGCAGGAAACCGCCGCGCGCCCCGAGCGCGCGGCGGGAAGAAAAATCGCTGCGCGCCCGGAGCGCGCAGTAGGCAGGAAACAGTACGCGCCCGGGGCGCGGTACAGGTAGTAGAGCAGCGGAAGCATCGGGTGGGGCCCACCCACAGGATCGACATAGGAGGGTCGACCTGCTCTGATAGCATGTCGAAAGGTAAGTAGAAAGTTTAGAAGCAGAAAGAGGGGTTGCACTAGCAAGCAGTTGAGTACATATGGGAAACCCTAAATTGGGTTGTACTCGCTATAGAGTACCCCACTGCAGGCTAGACAAATACAGCATTCTGACAAACATTTCGGAGTAATCACGAGCAGTCACATGTTCCGTCAGCGCTATCACGAACGGTCACATGTTCCGCCAAATCTATCACGACCCATCACACGGGTATCACCTGCCGTCACTTAAAGGCACAAAAATATATCACGGGTAGTCACACTCGAAACTTTGCTATCACAGATGAACCCTGTCATCATTTCGTTGACCCGCCCTGAAACACTGTACAGATTTGGGGACTTTATTTCGGGGTCCTGATTTTTGTCCTGTTTACCGCGCCTCGAGAGTGTAATTATCGGGCAAAAAAAATCGCGGTTCAGGATGAGGGGGTGTGAAATTATCGAGAACAGGGTGCAGTGGGTCACAACTCGGACCAAGCAGTGTGCCCCAAAATGAAACGAGAGCCCTGAACCTGACGTCGCGCTGAAGTCAGCTAGTTATGCATTCTCATCTCGGCTCACCCATTCGATTTTACTAGTTTTCTCTCTCAACCGCCCCACTTCGGCCACGATGCGCGCACAGTGCTTATTATTCTGTCCTTCTGTTCCACCTTCCACATCAATCCCCCGCGCTCGCGGCCGCCTCGTGACGCGTTCCGCTATCGTCTCGAGAGGCGGAAGAGACGAGGGATCAAGCGAGGACAACTTGCAGCAGCCCGGACCGTTATTGGAGGAAATTCCCTCTTTTTCAATTCCGAATCCCCTTCCTTTCCGCTCGCTTGATTTTCCCAACGCGCCTGAATCGAAATCCGGCGTTGCTTCCGTCGTTGAATCTCCTGGTGACGCGGACCCTTTTCTTTGCTCGTCGGCAGCCATGGATGAAGCCAGTACTTGGTCCAGCCTTGCTGCCAGCACTCTCAGCGAGCTTGACGGTGTTGTTGAGAGAGAATATTTAAGAGGAAGGGAAACTGCGAAAGCAGGAGGTCTGGGGTTGGGGGATGGAGAAGGAGGAGGGTTGAGGAATGGAGGAGGACGAGGGTCCGGGGATAGGGAAGCAGGAGGGTTGGGGGATGAGAGAGCCTTTGAGCGTGGCGCAGATGGGACGACGAGTTCAGCCGGTCGATCAGCAGGACGGGCGGGAGCAGCAGGTCAAGAGCAGATGGTAGGGGTGAAATGGCTGGCTAAGGCGAGGCAGCAGGCGCTTCAGCCGACCGAGGGGAACCACGAGGAACATGGAGATGGCAAGGGTGTGGACTGTGGGGAAGGTGAGAAGAGTGGGAAAGGAGGTGATGATGAGGACGAGGATGAGGGTGTTGAAAAGAGCTTGGAGGAGGAGCGAGGTGGGGGTAATGTGTTGCCGGATGTGTTGCCGGATGTATTGCCTGTTTTGGCGGCAGATGTGGAGAGGTTCATCAGGGCGTTGGACGAGCTGAAGAGAGAGGCGGTGTCGCTTGGCATTCCGGGATATGCTCTTCCGCGTGTGGAGAAAGAGGAGGATCTTGGAGTCATGGTTAAGAAGCTTGTGGAAGCTCGCAATGAGGTGATGGGAATAATTGCATCTAGGTTAAGCTCTAATTTGTAATGGTGTTCTAGAGTGGGAGATTTTGTATGCATGTGGATGAAAGCTTGGCCAAAATACCTGCTTGCTTGTAAGGAATTATGCGGCACTCCTTAGGCGTACATTCCCAACTTTCGGAGTTCAGGCTCGGTCCGTCGACCTCGCCTTCCGAACCTCCTCTGCGTCGCCTTCGGGTTTTCCAACCCCGAACCTGCACCCAACCTTCGCGCGACTCCGCGACCTCGGCCTAGCTAGCTTTGCTATATTATGCCTAGGCCTCGTTGTTTGTTCAGTAGTTGTAATCACTTCCGCGTTATTGAATACTAATAGCGCACTCTTCTTTCGTACAACTCATAACACTTGGTGTCAGAGCTACTTTCCTAAGTTACCCTCCACTTTCTGGGGTAGTTTAGTGCGGGGGTGCGATAGACTTGGTGGGCTGCAAAGCAATCGGCTGAGAGATTGAAACGATTATCTCGCTCCGACTAATAGCGTTCGCGCCTTCATCAAAGAGGGACGAGGGACGCAGGAGCAACAGCCACAGCCGCAGCAACAGGCACAAGCAGCACCGAGGCAACAGTCGCAGACGACGCCACGACGGGCACCAGCAACAACCCCAGCGATGGCTTTGGTGGCGCCCCCGATGCATGCAGCAGCAACTGTCTCAACAAATGTCAAGATAAAACCGACGAACCCACCCCCGTTCAATCCCAGCGACAAAACCGTCACTGTGTCGGCATGGTTGTTCGGCCTCGAGGTGTTTTTCAATGCTGCGCAAATTGCTGACGATGCTACTCGCATTAATTTTGCAGTGTCACTGTTATGAGGACCAACGTTGGAGTGGTGGAAGCAAACTCTTCAGACAGAGGGTGTGAAGAAACGAGGAATGAAGGAGTGATTTCACTAGCAGCAATGAGGATACATATAGCAAACCCCAGATGGGTTGTACTCGCTATAGAGCACCCCACTACAGGCTAGAGAATAACATTCTGACACACCCCCATAGCCAAAGTGGGGTGTAATCAGCACAATGAGAAAGCAGGCATAGAGCAGGAGTTCACAATAGGTAAGTAAGGCTAGAGCTAATCACAGAGGGCAAGTGAGGAGGAGGAGAGACTGTGGGGGAGAGAAGATGGGAGGCGACTGCTGACGCTGCAGACACACAGACGAGCTGCTGGCTCAGTGGCTACCGAAGCAAAGGCCCGGACTACAGGAGTAACTGGCTCCGCGGCTAAAAGTAGCGGCAGACGAGCAACTGACCCACAGGCGACTGGCGACTACCGGAGATTGTAACCTCCGGACTGCTGGTGCTGCTGACGACAAGACTGCTGCCTCCACGCAACCTCCCCCAGCTGCCCAACGCCCCTCTCACACACCCCCTGCTCAAACCCTAACCCTACACCCACAGCACCCCCGTAAACCCTAAACCCCAGACGCCCACACATCCACCTCCCTCAAAACCCTAGCTCCACTCCCACAGTACCCCCATTAAACCCTAAACCCCAGGCTCCCACACATCCACCCCCCTCAGCGCCAGCTACAGCAGTGGGAGACGAAGGAGGAGGAGGAGGAGCAGGGGAGACCACACACCCGTCACCCCCTTCTTGCCACCCCCAAACCCTAACACAGGGCAGGGCGGGATGGCGGGTAGGGAGGGGGGGGGGGGGGGGGCGACGCGCGGCCTCCCAGGGCGCCAAAGCAGGCGGCAGAAGGGGCGACGCTCGCCCCCCCCCCCCCCCCAGGTTGCCCCTCGCGGCCCCCGAAGGAGCCGCGACGGGCGACGGGAAAAGGGGGGGGGGGGGGGGGGGGGCGGTGCACCGGTGCGCCGCGGCTGGCGGCGGGGCATGGCCGGGGCGGCGACGGGGCCGCTGAAGGGCGGCGACGGGGCCGCTGAAGGGGTGGCGGCAACGGGGCCGCTGAAGGGGCGGCGACGGGGCCGCCGAAGGGCGGCGACGGGGCCGCTGAAGGGCGGCGACGGGGCCGCTGTAAGGGGCGACGACGGGGCCGCGGAAAGGGCAGCGTCGGGGCCGCTGAAAGGGCGGCGACGGGGCCGCGGAAGGGCGGCGACGGGGCCGCTGAAAGGGCGGCGACGGGGCCGCGGAAGGGCGGCGACGGGCCGCGAGGGGCTGGGAAGGGCGGCAACGGGGCCGCTAAGAGAAGCGCGAGGGGCACGCCACGGGGCGTGCTGAGCACAGAGTAGCAGCGGAAGCAGTTGGGTCCTAGGATCGGAACCACACTGATAACATGTGAAGAAATGAGGAATGAAGGAGTGATTTCACTAGCAGCAATGAGGATACATATAGCAAACCCCAGATGGGTTGTACTCGCTATAGAGCACCCAACTACAGGCTAGAGAATAACATTCTGACAGAGGGGACTCCGGCAGGGCTGTCACGTGCGAACGACGGGACCTGGACAACTGTCACGCAACGAGCTACTTCAATCTTCGGAGTGGCCACGATACACACATGGACGGAGTGGGGCACCGCGCTGCGAGCCAGATTCGAGCATGTATCCGCCTCGGATTCTGCTCGCATGAAGCTGCGTACCTGAAAGCAGGTGGTGTCGGTCCAAGATTACACGGCAACATTCTGCAATTTGGCCGACCAAGTGGACGATATGAGTGATGCGGAGTGACTCGACCGATACGTCGCAGGCCTCAAGTACGAAGTACAGTACGAGGTGCGACGGGCGAGGCCACGCGACTTCCTCGATGCCGTCCAGGTGGCCGAATCAACGGATCCGCGGATGCAATGGGCGAGAATGAGATCCCGGGAGGGCACTCAATTTCGTGGACCGCTGCGCCAGCCTACAATCAACGGGGTGGATGCACCGAGACGTGGACCTAACACGTGCTTCAACTGCAACCTACCGAGCCACTATATGAAGGACTACCCGAAGCTGAAACAGGGAAACAGGAACGACGTAGAGGAGTCGGGAAAAGAGATGAGTCAGTAGCTGTCGGGCCACCTACTGACGAGACCCCGTCGCCCGGCCATCAACATCCACACCGAATAGTGGTATCGATACGGGCTATTGACCGCAACCAGACAAATAAGGTGGATGAACACGTGGATCACCCTGTGCTGGTCGTGGGGAGGGTTAACGGACAAAAAATAAAACTTTTTGTTGACGGAGGGGCGAGCCACAGTCTCGTCAATCTAGGAACGGCAAAAAAAATCGGAGTCAAGCTGGACAGGTGCCTGCCCAAAATTGACGCGCGACTAGTGGACGAGACACCGTTGGCAATCAAGGACGAGGTCCGACAAATTCGGATGAAGTGTGGCGACGATTTCGGGTTTTCAATGCGAATGCTGGCGACAACACTGGACGGTTGCGATGTGCCGCTGGGACGAGATTGGCTGCAGCGATTTAATCCAACGATCGACTGGACGACGGGGGCGATCACGGTGTTATGCAACAAGGAGCGCGCGAGACTTCCAAAATGGGCGGAGCCGGAGCCGATGACAACACGTGTCAACATTGTCAGAACTATGTTCTAGACTGTAGTGGGGCACTCCTTATAGGGTACAGCCCAATTAGGTTTTGACATACAGACTCTGTACTGCCCTTGTTCTAGTCATTTTTTCTCATTCGTACTTTCTGACATGGTTTCAGAGCAGGTTCCCTAGTGGGAACAGTTTTTTTGAAGGGCCCACCACGACTTCTTTTTTCCTGCCCTGCCCGAAGCGCACCTCGCGCCTGCCTTACCTGCGTTGTCGCGCGCCCTGACCTACTGCCGCCCGTAGCAGCCGTGCCCTACCGGCCCGTCGCGGCCCTGCCCTACCGGCCCGTCGCGGCCCTGCCTTAACGGCCCGTCGCGGCCCTGACCTAGCCGCCCGTTGCGGCCCTGCCCTATCGCCGCCCGTCGCGGCCTGACCTAGCCGCCCGTCGCGGCCCTGCCCTGCCGCCGCCCCGACGCGGCCCTGCCCTCAGCCGCTCGTCGTGGCCCTGCCCTGCACCCGCTCTTCGCGGCCCTGCTCTACCGCCGCCCCATCGCGGCCCTGCCCTGCAGCCGCCTTGTCGCGGCCCTGCCCTGCTGCCACCCATTTGTGGCCCTGCTCTACCGTCGCCTCGTCGCGGCCCTGCAATCCACCCGCCCCTAGTAAGCGCCCGCCATGCTAAGCGCGCCGCCGCGCCTGCCTGCCTGCCACGTCGTGCCGCGCCGCCCAGCCGAGCCGCGCCTGGAGATCAGTGCGTGACTCTTACCTGTGTGTTCCGCCTGACCCGGGCATTGAGGCTGCTGCTCTAGGTGCTGGTGAGGCTGATGCCCCAGGTGCTAGTGCGTCTGCTGCCCCAGGTGCTGATGAGTCTGCTCTCTCAGGTACTACGTCGGCTCAGGCCTTACACACCTTCACCCTTGACTCGGGTGCTTCCCGCTCCTTGTTTCGCGACCGCACCACGCTTACGCCGCTTAGTCGGCCGGTTGCGGTCTCCCTGGCGGACCCCTCTGGGGGTCCTGTCCTTGCTAGCTTCTCCACTGTCTTACCGTGCCCGGCAGCCCCCTCGGGCACCCTGTCACGTCTCTACCTCCCCTCGTTCTCTACGAACTTGGTGAGTGGAGCTGACCTACAAGATAGGGGGATTGACCAGTTCACTCCTGCGAGTCAGCAGATGACCCACTGCACGTGTGCTCGGACAGGCCGACACTTGGCCACGTTCACCCGTCGGCCAGGGTCGAGCCTGTACACACTTACTACTGAGTCTCCTCTGGCTGCTGCGTCTGGTCAGGTAGCTGCGTCGAGTCAGGTGTTTGCTGCAGCGTCCAGGTCTTGTCCTAAGTCTGCTCCCTGCTCGTGTCGTCTCCTGTCCCACCAGACTCTCCTTTGGCACCACCGCCTTGGTCACCCCTCCCTGCCTCGCCTCCGAGGCATGGCCTCCCGTGTCCTTGTCTCTGGTCTCCCCTGGTCTCTCCCTCCTCTACCTCCGGGGCCCGCCCTTACTTCCGTCCCCTGTGTCGAGGTACGACAGCGCGCCGCCCCTCACTCCTCCGAGTTTCCTCCGACGGAGGCTACCCTGCAGAC